ATTATTTATAATTAAATTTATAACTACGCCAACCATGTTGCACGCACCTTCTGTGTAACGTAAGCATTCTGTACAAGTTTTGGTTCCAATGATGGTAACGGAAAATGCCTATAGGATCCCCAAACATTACCCGACTGTATAACATTGATAGGTAGATCCAACTGTAACTGCTTCATGTACAATTGTTCTTGTAAAGAGAAAACAGGTGCTTCCTTATCGTGGATAAATACACCGCTAATTATTTCGCCACCCGGCTCCTTTCGCAAACAATTAATAAGACCGAGTAGCCCGCATTCGAAATCTTTTGCAACGAGAATTATCCTCATATCTACATTAGTTTCATTTTGCATATTCATAATTGATTTTAGTTCGTCTATCCATGAAAACTCGTAATTGCTCACGTGTACAACGTGCATCGGTCGGCTTCTCACGATATATTGCATTTTTCTTAGTAATATAACCATCTTTTTATTGGTTTGTTTTTCTAAAATGACTTCTAATCCGTATTGCTTCAGACATGAATAATCGTGAACTGTGCCAAACTCCTCCAAAGTCAATATAAAACCTTGCGGCATTAAGATAGATAATAGCATATTATATAATTTTTTGTTATTTTTGGTCAAAATACCAAAACCCACGACCATCAAACAGTTTTCATCTTTGGATAGTTTAGTAATCTCTGTTGTAGAAACGTTATTAGGCAAAGAGATATTTGGAAACTTTCCATGGGTTATTACTAATCTAGTATTGTGTCGAATTTGCGGTAAATCATTCAAGATTTCATTAATAAGGGAAAAATTCAAATCTTCTAATGTTACTTGGTCATTATCCTCCACAAATTCGACAACTTTTACATTTAACATATTGTAACATTCGAGTGCTATGTGCATCGACATCCTTATTACGTCTGGTACCAACATAATTCCAAAATCACGATGAGCAACAAATTTGTATTCTTCAAGAATAGTATTAACTGCTTTTTGTCGGCGAGATATAGGTGTAGCTACAGC